TTTAAAGGTCCTCATGACTGAATTTTACCAAAGGAAGAAATATTACCATGGTGCAATGAGCTCCTGCATGTGGCCTGTCACTTTGGTTCTTTGGAAAAATGGTTGAGAGGATTTTCCCTACGTCCTGAGCTGCTGTCATCTTGGACCAGTTCTTTGAAGATAAAGGACCTCCCATGATGTTCGTACCACAGCGTGTTACTTTTGTTCTGGGAAGGAGTCAGTCTGTGATGGCAGAGAAGGTACTTTTGTACAAGATCTTTGTTGACTCATATCTCATTGGTAACGGGATTGATTGGCATCTGCAGGGGAGTTTGAAGGCCTCCTGGTTGATAGAAGCTGGGAGGGAAGTGTGTCTTTTTACAGGTTGAGTAAAAAAAGCTGCATCTCAGAGAGCTGATGACTACGAGCTGGGCAGGTCAGCTGAATAAGCTGTACCTGAGACGGCTGCCAGGTAAGACCTGGGGTGGCACAGCTGCAGAGAGGTCAGGGAAGAATGCTCCCAAAGCTCCCACACTGCCTCTGGCCTGAGCTGGCAAGCACCAAGGCAGCCAGTGGTGCAGCAGCCCAACGGCAGAGCTGCTGCGGGGAACTGCAATGGAGAGCTGAGCGAGCTGCTCCAGAGACTGTGAGCTGGGCCCGTTAGCAGCGGACAGGCCTGGGGGGGGGGGGGAGGCTGAGGGAGCTGGCCTGGTCCGCAGCTGTCCTGCACTGAAGGAGAGATGGACTCTCCACTGCTGGGACCTTTCTGGAACCTAGCACACACTAAGCTCCTACCCTAAATTGTCTGAAACATTAACTTAAAAAACAGAGGAAGCACCTGTGCTCAACAAAGCATCCCAGAGCTAGGAATGAACCCCCAAATCACATGCTGTTAGGATAGACAGACCTGGTAACGCCCAGGGGAGGGAGTCCTAGGACGTGCACCTGCTACACCTCAACTGCGTCATCACCCCAGTTGGCTCTGTTGCGCCAGCCTGGCCTCTACCCCAGTCTCCCTCATTGCTAGCTTTGCCCCTTGGCCTGCACATGTTTCCTTGCATACCTGGAAGAGGACCAGGCACTCGAACCCCATCCTTGGTGAGATTCCGCGTGTCTCATTCAAACTCGAGCTTTGTGGTCCCCTATTCTTGGGGTCTGATAGTCACTGTGGCTGACAAGGTCCCCACACCCAATCTCCTCTTGTGGTGTGAGCCCTGGTGTTACCATGAGACGTTTCAAGAAGTGTCACTCTGCAGCCAGGGTCCCTATCCAATTCTTGTTAAAATTGCTGAAGCTAGTCCCATGCTCAACCGTTTTACCTTTGATCCATGCAGATGCTGCCTGACACGTTTCCCTGCTCAAATCCTTCACTGATTCCCATTACCCGTGCCCCCCAACCAGGTAAGTCCTCAGTTGGCACATAGGTTCAGATTCACTGCCCTCCTGCAAAGCCTCATTCCCAAGATCCCAGTATTGCTTTGCAGTGTAAGCAACAGATCTCCTGTCTCCACGCTCAATTTCTGTGCATCACCTTGTACTGCTCCCCTTCTTTCATTGAACTGAACAGTTAAAGCAACACCCTCTTCACATTCATACAGAACCTTCCTACCTATTATTGCCATGCATGCATTTTTACATCACACAACCCTCAGAAAGGTCTTCAATTTACGTAGCCTCTAAATTTTTCTCTGGAGTAACACAGGGAAGAAGTGTAAATTAAACAACTATATGATGTATGGAATAGGAAAAATTCTCTATTAAGAAAATGAGTTTTCATACAATTGAAAAACAATCATGTAATATTTTGCTTAATGCCATAATCTCAAACTGACTTTTAAACCTTTGAAAATTTTCTCAAGTAAAACTATTCAATCCTATCTGTCTGATAAGCACTTCCACACATTATTCTGAAATTAACATAAAAACACTACCTATTTTATCCAAGTAGATTCCACAAGCATTTTAAAAAATCATACTGTGGAAAGGCCCCTATGTTTGCAGCAGGAAAGGGCAGGTAGGAAGACATTACAAACCAAACTGGTTGCCAGTGGGTCAACTCCACCTCCTGGTGGCTCCAGGCGTTTCAGAGTAGATGCGTACTCCATGAGGTTTTCAAAGACTGTGACCTTTGACAGTAGATTGCCAGGACTTTCTCCCGAGGAGACTCTGGGTGGACCTGTATCACCAGCTTTTCCAGTAGGAGTGAAGTGCTTCAACATTTGTGCCATCAAGGACTCCTAGCAAGACACCAGCATGGAGGAAAGCACGGAGCTGCAAGAGCAAGCACTCAGCACGGTATGCCACATACGGGTACTCTCCCCCCAGCAGCATCTCAACCACCATAAAACATAAGCTAGTCTCCTATCTCTCATCTCTCCAGCCATTTCATACTAGCTGGTGAAGGCTGCTCAATTCACAGTGATAAACATTCTCATACCCCTTTGTTAGTGGCTGTCATTCCTAACATCCAAACCAAACTGTGGATGGGGGTCCATCCTGCCTCTGTGGTCACAAGTGCAAATTGGGAGTGAACATATAAAGCTCCTAGTTTATCCACATGTGAGTATGTGCAATCTTAAGGGGAATTCAAGAATATCCATCACTTCAAATGAATCCGGCAAGGGCTCCAAGCAGAAAAAAATTCTTTCTCTCAAAGGAGAGGGAGACCATCATTTTCCCTCCATTATTTCTACCCAATTAGTAATCCCTAGTGAACCATCATTCTGTTCCCATGAAAATTGGTCCCTCAAGTCTTTCTTGGCCTGCTGTTTCTTGGTCACCTGGTAGAGCTATTACTTCTTGTAACAGTGCCCTTCTTTTGTAACTGTAGAACAGACCTAAATACATTTACTGTGTTGATTTAGCTTACAGTTTTATGTCCATCCTCAAGCTTTCTCCATTTTCTTACTCAAATGTACACACCTTCAATTCAGTGTCCTTACCCATCCCTTCCCAGAAACCATCACATTGACTGAAAGACCTGAGATAAAGATTTCAAAGCTTAGTTTGAAAGTCATCAAAAGTAATCATGCCTTTTCAAGAACTCTGAAATAGTTCAAGAAAAATATTGTCTAAACGGAAAATTTTGGATCTTTCCACAGATGTTCTTGTGTTTTTGACATCTATCATCTCACAAAGTTTAAATGATTTTCACTTTTAATTACATTGCAGCATTTCACACTGAAGGTGACAAAATTGAACAACAAAGTTTTTAATCTTTTTAAGGACTAGCAGCTTAGTTCCTTGTAGTATGATGTCTGATATATGGTCCATTGTGAAAACTGCCTAAACAATTCATGACATTTCAAAGGTTTCTCTCCAGTATTTATTCTCTCATTCATCCAACAGTATGAACATTTGATCAAAACAAAACAAAACCCAGCCTACTAAACAATCAACAGAACCCCACAACTTACCATATTCATTTGTAAGTTTTCTCTCCAGTGTGATGTTTCTCATGATCCCCAAGGCTTAAGTTGTGGGTAAAAGCATTGACACATATATTAGATCTACACTGTTCATTTTCAGCATGCAGTTTCTGATGTCTAGTAAGGTTTGCAAAATGGGTAAAGGTTTTGCTACATTCATTACATCTGTAAGGTTTCTCTCCAGTATGGCTTCTCTTATGATTAGTAAGGCTTGAATGCATGGTAAAGGATTTACCACACTCATTACATCTGTAAGGTTTCTCTCCAGTATGACTTCTGTTATGATTAGAAAGGCTTGAGTGCATGGTAAAGGATTTGGTACACTTACCACATTTGTAAGGTTTCTCTTTACTATGAATTATCTGATGGTCCCCAAGGTTTGAACTTTGAATCAATGTATTGACAGATATATTAGATTTACAATGCTCCTTTTTAGGATGTATTTTCTGATGTCGAATAAGGTTTGAAAACTGGGTAAAGGCTTTGCCACATTCATTACATTTGTAAGGTTCCTCTCCAGTGTGAATCCTCCTATGACTAGTAAGGCTTGAGCGCACGGTAAAGGCTCTGTCACACTCATTGCATTTGTAAGGTTTCTCTCCAGTATGAACTCTTTGGTGAATCCTGAGGTCAGACTGTTGTCTAAAAGCCTTGCCACATTCAATACACTTGTGCGGTTTCTCACCAGTGTGAATTTTCTCATGACCCCAGAGGTATGAAAGACTAATAAAAGCCTTGCCACATTCATTGCATTTGTAAAGATTATCTTCATTATGGCGTTTCTGATGCCGATTAAGGGATGAACGCACAGTGAAGGCTTTGCCACACTCATCACATTTGTAAGGTTTCTTGCCAGTATGAATGCTCTCATGGCCCAGAAGTTGTGAATGTCTGATAAAAGCCTTACCACACTCGTTACATCTGTAATTTTTTTCTCCAGTATGAATTCTCAGGTGACTTCTAAGGTTTGAATTTTGAATAAAGACCTTGCCACATACATTACATTTATATGGTTTTTCTCCAGTATGGATTCTCTTATGTTTAATGAAATTTGAGAAGTAATTAAAGGCTTTGTCACACTCATTACATCTGTGAGTTCTCGGCCCAGAATGAATTTTCTGATGTTTAGTGAGGATTAAACTTTGGTTGAGAACCTTCCCATTTTCCTTACATTTGCAAAGTTTTCCTCTAATATGTGTTTTCTGGTGTTGTGTAAGCAATGCAGGGTCCTCAAAAACCTTCTCGCGTTTATTACAAACGTTGGAACTGATGCCAGGAGAAATTCTTTGAAGTGGTGAAACTGGGCAACTGTTACTGATAGACTTCTCAAATTGACTGCATTCATAAATTTTCTCTTCAGTTTGAAATCTCTGAAGTTCAGCCAGATGTAACAGAAAGGTTAATCCAGTTTTATTTTCAAAACATTTCATATTTTTGCTTTCTCCACAGCTTATGTCATTTTTTAGTTTTAATAAATCCTTCATAAACAGATTCTCACATTTATGATGTTGATATGCACTTTTTCTTACAGAAAGACTCTGCTTTAGAGGAAGGTTATCCCAGGATTTGTTATGTTGCTGGACTTCTTGACTAGCAACGTTGCTGTTCTGTGACATAGACATTTCTTTGTGATTTCTTTCATTATATCCCCAACTACGCTCAAATTCATGCATATGTTTCAGGGTTTCTCTGAAGTAAAAATTCTCTATACCATGGTTTTCGTGTCCTTCCAACATCACTGTTTGAAATAATTCTCTTTTAATAATGTTCTCATCTGGTGATAATTCCTTGAGCACACATCTAGAAGAGATATCTGAAAGATACAGAGAATTACAGACTTCCTATTAACTACAGTTGGAAAATGATTATATTAAGAAACATATTACATCAGAAGCAATACTTAACATGAAAGAGTTATGAAACGTATCAATCAAATGTACAAATGTTTGGGAATGGAAAGGTAATAGGATTTCTCAAGAAAGAAAGGGTTATTACATGTAACTCAAATTATTTACACGGAAGCCTCATATCAATACTTGCAATGTAATGAATTGCTTGGCATGGCCCTTCTAGTCACAGTCTTCCATTTTGTGATGTATTGTAAATCCTAGTCTCTATACCTGTTTATGTTGGGATGTATCTTGAGTCTTGCCTTGCTGGATGGTGAGACTTAAGTCACCACCCTTAGTTTCCTTGCAGGTAGGCATATATGTGAATGTTCTGGGAAAAATTCTTTCTCTTGCCGTGGTCCAGCATCTGGTTCATCATCATCATCTCACCCTTGGACTTGAGACCAGCAGCTGGCCGTCTGACCTGTCAGTTTGAGTTTGCAAGCCCCTGTAACCACATGAATTGGGAGAATCCTCCAGATCTAACCAAAGACTTGGGACCTGCCAGCCTCCACCACCACGTGAGCCATTTCCTTGGGATTCTGTGAGTTTTAAGACGTCACAGAGAAATAGGACCCCTAAGGCAGGGCAGAAGAGTACTGAGGAGAAGAGGAGGTGTAGTAGTTGATGTTAGATATGGTGGAGTG